GGTATGGGGTATTTGTGAGCACGGCTGCTAACCTTTGGGACCACTAATGACACAAAAGAACATAAAGGACGCAATTTGATAATTTCGCGAATCTTATGGACATTTTGTGATAAAAACCCTATGAAATAATATAGTAGATGAAGGTTGAAACTGGATTTTCATTGACAAGATTCAAAAGGGGTGTATTTTAATGAAAAAGTTGCTTTGAACATTAGATATTCAGTATGGAAAGTTGCATTATAACAAAGATTCTGGGAAAATATAGGATTTGTGCTTCTAAATTCATTTATACTAACCTCTCAGCACGCGCTTCCGCGTTTATGAGAGGCATTTTTTTAAAATTTTTAATTTTATTTTAGAATTAAAAAAGATAATAGGTAGTTGTGTGTTCCGTAAAAATATGATCCATTATCTAATTTTTCTTTTCATTTTAATTTTTTTTAATACGAAAAAGTGTGAATTTACCATATTATCCTCATTTAATTAATAATTTTAATTCTTAATGTTTGCATTAACTAATGACATTTTCTGGTATTTTGAATATTTCACCATTCTCTGTCTTTTGCTTTATATAAATAGATGATAGTCTGGGGAGCAAAATAAAATGGTGATCAGACCATTTGATGAAATTGTCGTTTTCCTTTTATTTGGTGCCAAAACCAACGAGAAGAACGTTTGAAAAAAAGTCCACGACCTGTGTAACAAAACAAAACAATGTCGACGGTCCGATCGAGGTAGGCCAAGAACCATTTTCCAGAGAATTCATCCCCAAGCCATTTGGAGACTTTCCCGCATAATCCCAGAATTATTCCAGACAACCAAAACCTGATGGGCAAGAAAAGAAACAAGAAAACCCCCCGCTCAAAGGGCAAACCCAAATCCAGAACCCCACCACCCGAAACGCGAAACTGGCTGGACCTTCCACGGGACGTTACCGTTTCGATACTTTCACGACTGAGAGCGATCGATGTTTTGGAGAGCGCGCAGAAGGTGTGCATGGGTTGGCGCAACATCTGCAAAGATCCTCTTATCTGGCGCACCGTCGACATGAGCAATGGTGATTGCGACTTTGGGGCCTACGACTTGGATAAGATGTGCCGCCACGCAGTGGATCGTAGCTGTGGTAATCTGGTCGATATCAATATCGAGCACAACTGCACCGATGATCTCCTTAAGTATATCACCGACAGGTATTCTGTTTAATTTTTTTATTTATTAAAATTGGTAAACTTGGCTTAATAAGTATATCATCGACATGACGGTTGGAACCTAAGACCACTTGTCTGTAATATATGTATTTCTGTTTGTGTGAGTAAATTTGTCGAAAATTTGTCGAAAATAGGTGCGGTGGTATCAGACGGCTCCGGTTAGTGTATTGCTATTTCACGTCAGTGGGGAGGTTTTATGAAGTGGCTTCAAGACTTGCTCTGTTAGAGGAGCTTAACATCTCTTTGTGCAGATTCTCACCTGAATCACTGCAAGTGCTCGGGAGCTCTTGCCCTCTTTTGAGGTCATTCAAATTGAACCACCGCTGTACAAGTTCAAATTTTGTGGCAGGTGAGAATGATGGCGAAGCACTTGCTATAGCAGGAACGATGCACGGTTTGCGTCACCTTCAACTTGTCCAGAACCAGCTCACCAATGATGGCTTGAGGGAGATTCTTGACTCTTGTCCTCATCTCGAGTCGCTCGATCTGCGCCACTGTTTCAATCTTAATCTGGAGGGAGATTTGGGAAAAAGATGCGCTGAGCAAATTAAACAATTGCGGCTTCCCAATGATTCCATTGATGACTATGAATTTCCTGCTACGCCATATGGTTTTGCTAATTTTTGGGAGTATATTGGCTCTAATGATTGTGAGGATCCTAATAGTTATGATGATCTTAATGATTACGCGTACGAGGCTTATAATGACCGAGGCTTCTCAGATGATAGTGATTTCTAGGATGATTTTTCCAAAATTCGATTGTCTCACTACCTAGTTCGAATTGGACACCGTCTAGCAGCTCAAATCTTTGATGCAGATGCAGTGGTGTTTAATTTGGAGGGGAGGGGATGGGGAAAGAAAATGAAAAGCTTCATTCATCCAATCCAGGTGAGATCTTGAATTTGTCTAGCAACAGACTATTTCCGGATTGTTTACATTAAGCTTATTGCATAAGGGAATAATGAGGATTATGGAAAGGTGGCTTATTTGCATCTATATATTGTATAAAAATGTGATAGTTGTTAGCATGGTTGGTTTTTACATTGTCCAGTTATCTTTGAGACATGTGGTGTATAAATATTTGAATAATAAGTCCTTTTTCACAATGAGTTTTTTTTTTTTTTTTTTTCTGAATAGAAGTGATAGTATAAATTATTTTAATTTAATTTAATTTACGAGGAAGCAAATTTAAACTTGAGTGCAAAAGGCGGGAGGAGAGATACACTGCCCAAACCATATCATTTCTACAAATGACTTATTGTTGAGAGGAGGACTTTGAGTCCTATATCCGTTGGTGCCAAAAAGCCCAACATTCAAAAAGGGAACATTTCAATGAAAAAAATTGTTTTGAATATTAGAAATCAGTTTTGGTAAGGGTTTGAGTGAAGTGGCTTCAAAGCTTACTCTGTTAGAGGAGTTTTAATTTAATCTATAGAAGTGGTTGGTCCCTCTTACCCTCTTTTGAAGTCATTCAAATTGAACGGCGGCTGGTCCAAATACAAAGGCCTAGATTGTCTACCCTATGAGCAGGATGAAGAAGCACTTGCTATAGCCGGAACGATGCGCAGTTTACACCACCTTCAACTTTTCAGGAATCGGCTCACTAATTATGGCTTGAGGAAGATTCTTAAGTCTTGTCCTCATCTTGAGTCACTTGATCTGTGCCAATGTTTCAATCTTGATCTGACGAGAACTTTGGGAGAAAAATGTGCCCAATGAATTAAACAATTGCGGCTTCCCGAAGATTCCATTGATGGCTACAAATTTCTTGATGCAGTAGCCAATGACTACGAATTTCTTTATGGATTAACTAATGTTGGTCGTGACTCTAAGGACTGTGACTGTTCTACTTGTTCTGGCGAATTTGCTTATGATTCTAATGGAAACTACTCTGATGATAGTGATTTCTGTGAAATTGACTAACTTCTTCATGAGAAGAAAGGAGAAGGTACAGTATAGCCGCTAGTTTTCTTATTTGTGGGGATTAGATGGGATACGTACAGCCGCACGGATATACTTCCAAAAATAAAAATAAAACATTCGTATAGCCGCTCGGCTTTACTATTTAAATATTCGGATATATTTAAATCGTATAGCCCGGCGGCTATACTTCAAAATAAATAACAAATAGTATAGCCAGGGGGATATACTTAAAAATAAAAATAAAACAATAGTATAGCCGTTCGGCTATACTATTTAAATATTCAAATATATTCAAAATGAAAAGCTGCGCCGTTAACTTAAAATTAAAAATTAAAAATAGTATAGCCGAGCGGCGATATGATACTTTAAAAAAATTTTAAACAGTATGGCCGAACGGCTATACTATACTTTAAAATATAAACGGCCGGCTATACCAAAAAATAAATGTTAAAAATTCGTATAGCCGAGCGGCTATACGTAAAATAAAAATTAAAAGTAGTATAGCCGGTCGGCTATACGATACTTTAAAATAAAAAAATAGTATAGCCGCCCGGATATACTATGCTTTAAAATATAAAAACAAGTATAGCCGGCCGGCTATACCAAAAAATAAATGTTAAAAATTAGTATATCCGTGCGGTTATACGATTTAAATATTGTAATATATTTAAAACGTATAGCTGCGCCCCTATACTTAAAAATAAAAATTAAAAATACTATAACTGAGTGGCGATACGTAAATAAAAAAAAAAAAAAGAAAAAAAAAAAAAAAAAAAAAAAAAAAAAGGTATAGCCGAGCAGTGCAAACGGGCTAAAAAAAAAATCCAAACGGGCCTTAGTCTAATGCTTGAAGCTTTGTCTTTACTTTAATTTTTCTTTGATGTTGTCTTTACTTTATGAGATGAAGTTGGTCCTGTATGAAGGAAAATAAGATTGTTTCATAAAAATAATTGACTAGTTTAAGGGATTGTTGTGACTTTACTCATTAAGTAATATTAAGAGTAATTTATAAAACGTAATAATCTTTTAATTTGATTTTAGAAGTCGACTAGAAAATTTAAATGATGGAAAATAATAATAATGTCCAACCAAACTATATATTTAATTAGTTTAGATTTGAACTAGCGGTTAGGTCTCGTTTGATGACTAGTATTGGATTGGATTGGATAAATTATATTAATTTAAAATAATTTAGATTAATAACTGGTATAAAAATAAAAATAAAAATAAATTAAGGTTAAAGTTGAATTTTCATTTGCAATTAAGGTTCTCATAAAACCACCTAATTAAGCGTATCCTCCATTTAGCCTCCAATCCATCCCCAAATCAAACGCTCCCAACAACAATGGTCTCATCTTCTCGAACCGCTCCAGGCCGGGGCCGGAACTGGGCGGAACTCCCAGACGACGTCACGGCCTCGATACTCTCGCGGCTCGGAGCCATCGAAATCCTGACGAGCGCTCAGATGGTATGCGTGACGTGGCGCAACATCTGCAAGGACCCGCTGACGTGGCGCACCATCGACATGCGCGTTGATCTTGATGATCAGAGGCACATTCATCACGACTTGGAGAAGATGTGCCGCGACGCTGTCGATCGGAGCTCCGGCAATTTGATCGATATCAATGTCGATATCTTCGGCACCGACGAGCTCCTCAAGTACATTACCGACAGGTAATTCAATTTAATTATTTTTGTTAAATGTTTTGGTTTATATATATACATACGAAATGATAATTGCTTTTATATTGGTTGAGTTCAAATTTAGTTGTGTATGTATGTTTGGTTTTGGGGATTTGAAGTTTCAATTAAAAATGGTGTCTTGTTTTTGTATCTTTTAATCCTGCGTAGTCCGGAGTTTGGAGTGCTTAGAAACTCCCTTTTCCTTAGTATTAAAGGTACTCTTAGATATGCTCCATATGTCACCGTTGCCACTCGAAAGTGATTCTGAGGTGAGTAGACTCCCCTATGCCACAACTGTCTATGATGTATTTTACATCATGGAGACACTCTAGGACTGGACTCTCTTCACGTTTGTGTAATGCCTGCCTTTAGCCTAATGACACCTTGTTCCCCTCAAGAACTGTGTTGGAGGGTGAGTTCTGGGATTCAATCTTACATGAGAGTTCTTGTGTAATTTACCTAAGCCAAAAGATACGATTTATAGAAGGAAACATCACCGATCCCCTTTCTGGGGTAAGGTAGGAAGCTGCCAGAGAGGAAGCCAAATAGGGCCTACTTCTGGCCTTCCTAACACCAATCAACTTGTTCACGGTGTGTGATGTGAGACATGTCATTTGGCAACTTGGCTTAATAGTTTTCTAACTAGACATGCTATGTTGTGCATATCGTTTGCGAGAAAAGGGCTGGTATTTTCTTTGTTTGCTTATTAGTGGCATCCTGCCGCTTGTTTAAGTAATGCCTTCTTTTCCTCCTTTTTGTTCTCTCTGACTTCGTTCAGACTACAAATACAAAAACAGACGCATATGTACATATGCATATGTATGCTGGAACTTCCATTTATTCATGCCAGTGAATTATTATGTTGATGTAGAATTTCCTGAAGTGTATTTTTGTGTCTCTGTATAACTACTAACATATTCATCTTTAACCTTTCAATAGTTCGATGGGAATCAAACGCCTCCGACTTGCCCATTGCTATGACATAACAAATGAGGGACTGAGTGCAGTGGCTTCGAAACTTCCGTTGCTGGAGGACCTTGAAATTTCATATTGTTCGTTCTCACATGAACCTCTAGAAGTGGTTGGGGCCTCTTGCCCTCTTTTGAAAACATTCAAATTTAACAACCGGTGGTATAGATGGCCACGTGAAGAGTCCAATGACGATGCACTTGCTATAGCAGGAACGATGCATGAATTACGCCACCTCCAGCTGCTTGGGAATAAGCTGACAAATGATGGCTTGCGGGCCATTCTTGATCGTTGTCCTCATCTTGAGTCACTTGATCTGCGCCGGTGTTTCAATCTTAAACTGGGAGGAAAGTCGGGAAGAAGATGTGCTGAACGAATTAAAAAGTTGCGGCTTCCTGATGATCCCATCGATAACTCTGAATTGGTTGATACAGATATTGATTACGGATCTAATGACGAAGACAACCCATCCGCATTTCCTGATGTTGATTATATGTTTGATGATGATGAGTATGAGTTCTCATCTGGGAATGATTACGAAGACAATGACATGGATGATTATGATGTTTATCCATGGCTTTTCTGACTTTTGATGCATTGAAGACCTTGTAGCTTCTGAAATCAGGGATCTACCGTTCTTAGGAGCCCATTTACGTAATTGGTTCAATTTTTTGCTTTCTATTTTTTGTTTAGCAGACCATAATTGATTCAATTAAACGTTTTCCTAGGACAGATTACGATTCTTATTGATCATGTGATGAAAAGTTTCTCCTTCAGTTTTTCTTTCCGGAAAACGATTAGAAGTTGCTTTCCATATCCTACAAAACAAAAGCGACCCCAAAAAAGAAAAAAACACCATAAACAAACAAGCAACTTCTAATTATAAATAATTTAAATAGTGCTAACTTCATAATAAATAATCAAAAGTTGTATCTTCATTACAAAGGTGTTCTAAGTAACTGTAATAGTCGTTGGGGTTAGGGTTGGGATTGGGATTCAAATTGGGATTGGGGTTGGGGTTGGGATTGGGTTTGGGATTTGCATTCAGATTCGGATTCGGATTCAGGTTGGAATTGGGATTTTGTTGTGCGAAATCTAATGACGACCCAACCGTACCCCTCACGGCAGAAACACCATCAATCTCATAATTATAATTATTAGAATTATCATCACCCGGCCAGACCAAGTAGTGCTCAATTGGATCCCGCGAAGGATGATTAGTTTCCTTAATCACTTCCCCTGTTTTGTCCAAATCATTATCCAACAAACATCCCTCGCCGTCCTTAATGTTGTTACCACCATGAACATGATCATCCATCACATGATCATGATTGCTCTCAAAATTTAGGGTTGTGTTAGCCCAGATGTCCTCAGATTTTGATATTGGTTGTGTCGAGACACACTCTACCTTACCATGTTCCCAATCTTCATTCCAACAAAGTTCCCCACCACCATTGTTGTCACCTTGATAATGATCAAACACACGATGATCACTCTCGAAATTTAGGCTTGGATTATACAAGAAGTCTTCGGACTCCGATATTGGTTGGAAAGAGACACATTCCGATTTACCCTCCTCCAAAATTTTGTCCCAGAAAGATATGTTGTTGTCGCTGCCGTCGTCTTTGTTGTTAAGACGGTCACACTCAAAATTTGGGGTTGAATTAAACAAGAGGTCTTCAGAATTTGCTAGTTGATGAGTCTTATCATATTCCAAAATTTTATCCCAAAAAGTTCTATCATCGTCATTGTTGTTGCCATGATGATCAGTAAAAACACTATGATCACTCTCCAAATTTTGGGTCAAATTATACAAGAACTCTTCGGATTTCAAAATTGGTTGCATCAAGGCACATTGCGCTTTACCGTCCTCCGAATCTTTGCACCAAGAAGATCCATCTCCCCCATTGATGTTACCATGACGAGCATCAAACACATTACGATCACTCTCAAAATTTAGGGTTGAATCATACAAAACATCTTCGGATTTCGATATTGGTTCCATCAGAACACCTTGTGTGTAACCATCTTCCAAAATCTCATCCCAAAACCACCCGTCGTCGTGGCCACCGCCGCCACCATTGTTGTTTCCAAGATGGTGATCATGTTCACTATCAAGCTTTAGGGTTGAACTAGAACATATGTCTTTATGCCTTGATATTGGTTCCACCCAAACACTATCCTCAAAACTTAGGTTTGATGGTGAGGTCGAGACACATTTTGCCTTACCCTTCTCCAAAACATGTGAACCTTTCATCCTCTTGTTAGTATAGTCCTGAAGAAGCACCAAGTATTTGTCTCTCAACGAAAACATGTCCTTAACTGTTCGACATGATTTCACCTCCTCCGCAAGTTGTCCCTGAACCTCATTATCTTGTTCCTCTCTCTTCCTCTTCTTTTGCGGTTTGACCTTGAAATCAATGGCGTTAGTAGGTGCCTGGTCTGATTGCATGAAGCGGTCGAGGACAGCGTCAAGGGAAGGGTTGTCCGGGAACCAGTAAGGCCTGCCTGCTTCTGAGAGCACAACAATGCCGATTTCTGCTTCGAACTTTTTGCAGAAGTCTTTACCCTTGCTAAACAGGCCGCTGCGCCTCTTTGAGAAGCTCACGTACCTTCTGTTTTTATACTGCTTCGCTTCTTTCTGCTCCATTGTTACTTCTGAAGCTTTTCTCTTCATCTTGTTAGTGTGCTTATAGAGAGCTGCTTTAGGTTAACAAAAAAATAAATATTTAGCTTATGAACCATTAATAACTGTGTATATATAGAGTGTGGTTTTGTTAACCTCGTTGCCTTAGGAAGGTTTGGGTGAAAGGCAAACAGGGAAAGTCAATGAGTTTTTCTCTGTGGACTAGGTATATAAATAATTAAATACCCAAAAAAATAAGGAAATAGATTTTAGAAAGTATGGAGGTTGAAGAAAATTAAATATAATACCTGCTTGCCAAGGGAATCCAAGATGGCAAATACCTGTACGTGTGACGTGTCATTCTCAACTAATCCAATCCAATCCAAGTTAAATCCGAAAAGAAACAAAAAAACCTCATCGACTTATCCAATCCAACTGAAACACAAACCAAGTCAAAAACCTATCAACTCGATTGCCCTCATTCAATTCTCTTTCACAATTTGACCTCAAATCAATAATGGCAGCAGAGCAGAGGAGAGCCACAGCTTATAGGCCGTAAGCACCATGTGCCACAGAGGCAGGCCTATATAAACTGAGAGCCTAAACACTATTAGGGGTATAATAGTCTTTCCATCTAATGTCTCTTACAGGGCACAAGTTACGGTGCATGCTCACCTCACGTGACCCTCTTTTCTTTCCCCCGCAATTCAAAAACGCAGGCAGTGAGTGAAGCTATCGACGCCGTATCGGGCAGAGAGGCTGAGCCACCAACGGGATGGGATTTGTTGCCTTGCCTTTCTTCCTTCCTTCCTTCCTTCTCTATATCAACACCAGTCGTGGGGTCCACTTCCACTCAGACTCACTCAAAGAGTCTGATTGATTGATTGATTGATTGATTGATTGATCTTACGCTATTTCTTTCATCACTCACTCTCCCCCTATTGACTTCTTAGACCTGGATTCGTACGGCAAAGATCTCACATGACACTCCATGTTCTTTACGCCCATTCACCAGCCTCCACGTGATCTTCATGTCGTTCACGTGTATTCCCACACGAAAATGTATATAATTCTTTCGAAAATGTTAACAATAGTTTTCTTACAATAATAATTTGGCGAAGGTATGTGGAACCAAAATTCGAATAATTAAACATAACCCACATCATTTGAGACACAAAAATTTAGTGAACATATGCAATGCCGAAACCATCCTTGGATTAGGGTAGGTGTGTATCCCAATCTAGTGTAATCTTATGAAATAGTGAAACTTAGTGCTAATTTGTTGGAAATTCACTCTACTTACGATGTGTTTACTAATTAGGAATATGAATTCTCATCAAGAATTGAATTCCATCTACGGAGGATTCCTGCATTTACTTCACAACAAGCAATTGAAAAGTAAGTGAGGCTCACACAAAATTAGGAATTGAATTCCTGATTTTGGAGGAATTCAATTCTTGAGTGGGAAGTGGTATTCTAATTTCTGGAGAACTAATCCATTAGGAATTCATATTTTTTACCCATTATAGCCTCACATAATTTTTCAAATTTACCCTCTACTTTAACCCAACAATGGGGACATTTTAGTAATTAGTGTCATTCCTACCTCAATTCCATATGGTTTAATAAACAACTTCAATAGAAATTCGGAATTTAATTCTCCTCAATTCAACTCCTCCTCAATTCAATTCCCCCTAATCCAATTATGGATTAGTAAACATGTCATTAGTGAAAATTAGTCCATCTAACCGTAGCATAAATTGATTTACTCCATCCGAGCAGCTTCCAAGAAAACGTTAATGAGTGACTTACATATAAACCAGGGCAAAAATAAATTGATAGCCAACTCATGTACTCTAATTATGCCCTTGATCATATAGTTCATCTCATTACAAATATAAAGAAAAGAAAAGGGAAGAGCATTATATATAAGACAAAATAATGTGATGAAATTATTCCCATCATAATCGCTTTGAAGAAATAGTCATCAACCAAATGAGTCTAGTCCGGTGGAAAGGGACATTGACTTACAGACTAGTAGTCTTAACTTCGAACCCCTATGACACAATGGTAGCATGTGTGAGAAAAAAATCCCTCTCTCCTGTAATTTAGACTATTACTTATACTAAAAAAAATTAATAATAAATAGAATCATCAATCTTTTTCCCAAAAATAAGCACAATAATTTAGTTGCAAGTTCGGTGAAGATGTTCAAGGCTTCAGAGCTGGCCCATAACATTTAATACGTGCTCTGATGTAGCTGGCAATTTTGTTTTCGCAACATCATCTCTCAACTGGCATTTTCTCCCTCTCTTCTCTCTCTCTCTAAAGTGGTCGACAAAACCCTAAATTTTGCTCTTAAACCCAACAAATTCCCTTCATTTATAAATTATTGCATGAGCAACAATAATATGTTGACATTAGTTTGATTATACTACTCGTTAAAAAAAATGCCAAAAAGTCAAACTATTTAATATTCCTAGATGACTACCCAGTTGGCCCCTTTAAAAAAAACAAAAAAAACAAGATGTTACATTTAAATTATATATATATAGTTATTATCTTATTCGGATGTCGTGCGAATGTCATTATAAACAGAGAGAAAATCAGGAAGGGAAAGTTCGGATGTCTGCAACTAATTTAACTTTCCAATACTAGTTAATTAGAGGTCACTTCCCAATTCCCATTACCTTTTATGAAATGATGAAAACCATTACAATCCATCTTCTAGCAAATCATAAAACTACACACCTAGCTAGCTATCACCATCCAATCACTCATTTTTTAATTCGGGTTACTTTTCCAAATCACTCTAATCTCTATTAAATCAAGTTAAAAATTATTTTCTATGTGCCATGTTGTTTTAGGTTCGAGTTTTGATACATGAAAGGTACGTAGTGTGAGTGAGGGGTCATGCATGCTCATGCACTAGAAACCTTGCATGAGATTTGAGGACTTGTCACGTGGCAGGCATGTTGTCGAGCCACGTGGGAGAGTTTCATTGGGTATGTGAAGCATCTGTGGGTATATTTTGTTTTGTTTTGGCTTTTCTATTTTTGTATTTTTTTTCTTTTTGGTGAGTAATTTGTTTGTTTTGGTTTTGGAC